AACCCTTTATAATACATCCTTCTTTCTCACACAGCCAAACTGTGGAATGCTCTGCCTTCTTTTGTGTTTCCATACTCATACACTGTCTCACTTCAAAAGCTGGTTTTCCGCATCTTTGTGGTGAAGATTAATAATACAACATTTGTCGATATAATGCGAGATACATTCCAAGAGAGGTCGCTTTAAACTGATCGCACTAAATCAAAGTGTTGTTTTAATGGAATAATTTAGTTTGGTACTTGAGAGAAACACAAAATACTAAAGACTGACAGTCTACCAGATGCACCTCAGCCCATCTCTAAAATAAACAAACATTGTTTTTGTAGTTTTATGTAAAAAAGCACTCATAAATCAACACAGTTAAAATTAAGGGATGCAAAATGGTTTGTTTACTGGCAGGGGAAGATGGGGGTGGGGGAAAAGGTGAGGTGTTATGTTTGACAGTTGATGCCAAGGTCTGGTGCTTATTTATTTATCTGTCCTTAAGAGTGACTTAAGTTTTCTCTTATAAAATGTCACTAAACTGACCTGGGAGAATATAATTAGCATTGCTGGAAATTCTTAAGATAGTGATTAGTTTGAATTATACATGCTATAGTTAGCATTACACATACAAATTTTAGTTTTAACTAATTTTATTACAAAGGGCTAAAATTTTTTTATCATCTTGTGCAAAATATATGGCGCTTATATTCAAATTATTCGCTGTCTTGCAAGGTTTCTAGCAATGCAAATCTCTAACAGTCTGTGATATTCTATAAGATAGAAACTGTAAGCCTATTCACCAACCCTGGCTGGGAAGATGGGGATGGAGGTGAAACAGTGACATGTTTGACAGTTGGCGCCAAGGTCTAGTGAAGTATTATTTGTTTATTTATGTCCTTTAGATTGAGTTTTAACTTTTTTAAATGTCAAGAAGTGACCGGGAGAATATAATTTACATTGCTGGAGAATTCTTATAAGATAATGATTAATTTGAATATAAACATGCAGTCAAGAATTCCCATGAGCGCCCTCCGTATTGTTTTGACTGTAAATGCCTGGTTAAGGACGTTCAGGTGACAGGCAAGTCGTGAGAATGATTGAAACCCGCCTCTTGACGATTCAATATTTATTGATGTGGTCAAAACCTGCAGAGGAGATGTTCATAATTACATGGTGATTCATCTGATACATTTTTAGTTAGTTCACATAATTTTATCTTAATTACAATTTATTAAACATAGTGACATAACACAAGTTCATAACTCTATTAATCTTAGCTTCACTTCATTCTTCATTATCTTATGACTCCAGGTTCGGCAGAAATGAGTAGGCGTTATTAGTCAACAATATTTCAGTACGAGGGTATGTCATCACTTAGGCTGTACTTACAAGTCGGTCAATGCAGATCAGTATGGTGTTCCAAGAGACAGTACTCGTAAATTGTCTCCGCACAAATTCTCTGACAGGATTGTGGGTCGGTGTTCACCAGTGCAAGCAGAAGGCTGGTCTTCCAGCATCACTAGAGGCGATCTGTCTCATGGCGGGGGGCAGCACCGCCACCAGTTGAAGACAGTCCACTCCAGCAGAACCAGGACTTGTCTATAAACACTTTTACCTCTGGATAGGTCCGCGCGAAAGATTTTATGGCATCACACGCCAGCTCTGTAGCTGAAGCCAGCAGCGATAACACATGCTATAGTTTGCACTAGACCAAAATTTTAGTAATCATTTAGTACATTATTTTGGTACATGTACAATACAGCTCTGCCCTTAGGACAGTGTATGGCCCTGAGAAACATGAGGCGCGAATTTTAAAATCGTACGCCAGATTGAGTCGAGGCAAAATAGGAATGATTCGCTTTAAATTAACTGTCAGTTGGTTGGAATGTTCAAGGAGGGCTACAGACTGGTGCCTGCACTTGGTGAGAGTTGTGAACTCTTGGAACAATCTGCCAAAGTGTTGTGACTGCACCGAAGAGTGAGCTCTTTCAAGACCAGACTTGACCAACACTGGAGCAGGTTCAGGTACATTCAGGGCGGTGCATGCCCAGTACTCCAACAGTGCGTAACAGGCGGACCGATCGCCCAAGTGATTCGTGATCATTTGGTGAAGAGGATAAAAGTAAGGAAAAGTAACAGAGACGGGACGATCGCCTAGCGGCTAACGAGCCGATCAATGGTGAAGAGTAAAAGAAAGAAAACATTGTCCTTAATTGTGGGTGTCGTTAAATCAATAATCTTAAATTGAATCACTTTTACAGACATTCTATTTTATTTTTATTTCTTTTACTCTGATCCCCAGACCCCATTGTGGGTTGATGACCTGTGCCTGGGTGGGGTATTCCCTGGGGGAAAAAAGGACTTCTACCAAACATGATGTTTAAGAGGAATAATAATCACCTAATAAGGTGAGGGCCAATTTTATCATTCACTGTTACAAAGCTTATGATTGTCCTGTTCAATATACAGTAAACCCTCAAAGATCCGGACAACAAATTTGGGGGTTCTGGGCTAAAAGCCTCTAGAAGTTTCCCAAAAAACATTCCCAAACTAGAGCAAAGAACATTTTTGCTAGGCGCTACTTGACCCGTTAGTTTTTTTTTTTTTTTTTTTTCTTTTTTTTATGGGGATTGATAACCACTGGCACAGGTCACTGACCCACATCGGGCCTGGGGCAAATGTAATAATAATAATGATAATAGTTCAGATAAGTAAAGTTTATAATAAAATATAAAAATACAGATAATAAGTCATGATAACAATAATAATAATAATAACAACACTGCAATAATAATAATAATGAACCATAAAAATACAAAAACAAAATATAAAGAGTGAGAAACAATATATGCATGTTGTGTTGTCAATGGTAAGAGAAACAGTTGAGACACAGGTGCCCGAGGAGGTGTGAAACATAAACAGAGTTGACAATTGTTGTTTGTGGGAATATTATTTCATTCACTCTAGTATTATACAATGTTTTATTATGTTATCATAGGTAAATGCTTTGCTTATATATGGCAATTTGTTTATCACTACATAAGAAGTGTATTTTTGGTGTTTCTTATATCATTTATTAATTGCCGGAAAATTGAACAATTGGCTTTTCAGACAGGTGGTCCTCCCTTTTAGTCTGGATCTTTGAGGGTTCACTGTATGTGCATTTTATTGTGCCACTTTACCTGTAACTCATGCTAATCACTGTTAAGTTATGAGCTATAATTTTAAAGAATACCCAAGGAAAACCATGGCTACTGTAATAATGTCTAGAAATACAGTAGAGCCTTGCTATTTGGTTGTTTGCCCTGCAGGTCTACTTTCAGATGACTTTAGCGAGGCAAGCTCTGTAAAATGGTCAAAGTACTGTACTTGACTATTTATTGGTTGGTGCTAAATTAGTTCCCTCAGAGTTTAGTATTGGTACAGCGCAGAAGAATGCAGATGCCATTTTCTCTTTTTTGAGGTCATAGAGTCAATCTACAAGAGTCCATTGTCCTGCAAATTTATACCTTGCTGCTCTTATGACTGTATGTCTCAGTATGTGTACAAGAAGCCCTCAGGCTATGAACGGATTGTGTTCCAAATATTTTATTTTAAGTGTTTGTAAGTTGTATGTTTGCAGCTTGGAACTCAATTTTTCATGAAATGTTATAGATGATGGTTAGTTTCCAAAACAACAGACAAAAGCCTATATAACCCTTAATTTAACTAATATTATGTTATGGAAGGCCCTGTTTAACAAGTTAAATGTTTTTCAATAAGTGTTTGTTAAGTGAATTCTTGTTTAACAGGACCTGTATTCTTATCGGATCCCATATTAAGCTAATGTCCTTTCTTGCCGGAAATTTTTTGACTCAAAACCAATGGTATAACTTGAATACACTCCAGCCAAAGAACAAGATGAAACACTATTGTAGTATATAGTGCTTGCCGTTTCTAAATAATAATGTTGTGTGGGCCTAGCATTGTTGGTTGAAGGTGTAGATGGTTATTGCTTGGAGGGACAGTGGCATCTTCCTGCCTTTCCATCAGGGACAACTAGTTGCTGATTGTGCACACTGTTGACAACATATCATACACAGTTTTTCACTATCCAGTGATTATACTGCATCTAGTTACATCTCCTAGGTGTCTTCTTTGGACTTACCATTGTTAGAGTTGATTATGTAAATAGCAAGAAATGAACAAACAAAGGCAGAGCACATTCTGTGAGGCCGAGAACATGTTGATAAACAGATTCCAACTTGCCTAGGCTCACTTGCTCCAGGCAAGGTCAGCCTACCTCTGATTTCACATTAGAATATAGAAAATGGGCCAAAGTGCACTAGCCTGTCTGGCCACTCAGCCAATGACAAGGAGGACTATTCCAACTCCAGAATGTGATAATGCAATCTGGTTCACTCGGACTATGCTCATTTAATGGAATACTGTACAATCTGGTTTGATGAATTTTCATACCATAAAGCACTGCTCATTAAACCCAAAATACCTTGGTTCGCCAATTGAAAGTGCAGGATAGAGTCAGTTAGCAGCTCACTGTGCCCTTCAGCATCAGAGGGATTCTTTCCTTTCCCCTTATCAGGGTCTAAAACATCTCACTTTCTGATTCTATATTTGCTGTTCTCAGGCCTGATTACCAGTCATGGTTTGGATATGTCAGTTCAAATATGTTTTGGTCTTTATTCATATATATTGAGTAGCCTTGATGAGTGTACATAAAGTTATGGTTTTGCAAGTGTTTCCATGGGAAGAAACATGCAGATTTAGTATTTCTTTCTATTTTACAGTGGTTATGCAGAGATCATATTTGAATGTTATTATTTGTTACTGTGCCTGTATATTCTTAAAAATGGAGAGAGAGCAATAGTCAGAATGGTTTCTTTATCTCTGTCACACTTGAGTTAAAGCGTACATCCAATCGTAGTGTGATGAGGGTGGTAGCATTGACCTTAATTGGTTAATGCTCAAATTTTCAGAAAAGGAATAACACTCATTATAATTATTGATACCCACAGTCAGGACCAGTGCTAGTTCCAGCAGGGGTGGCTGGAAGAACTATGAGACTCAAAGTGAAGACCATGAAGTTGGGGGAGAGGTCACCAAGCCATTATTTGCTGCTGGCAACAACAAGATGCAGTTATTACTTTTTTAAGACTTTTACGGCTATGACAAGTTGATGCTCTTGATGCATCAAAAGCACCACAAGAGATCCTTACAATGCTCTCAGGATCTATGTCATCAAAGGAATGTGAAGGTCAGGTTATATTATGTAATTATAGTTTGTAAAATTATTTAATACAGTGTTATGACAAAATTTCAATACAGTACTAATGAAATCTACAGTGTGCCAGATATGCAAATTATCTGGTTTTCTGTAAATCACTTCCCATGCCTCCATCATGAAATCACAAAGCTTTCTGTGCTTGAAGTTCTTGAGGTATATTACAGATCAATAAAATTTACTGGTGAATAGCTGGTAAGCTTGTAGTCCAATCAAGGCAGATGTAAACCATTTATTACAACAGACAGGAATGAAATAACTTTACCAAACCAAATCTCTTCCCTTGCTGATATCACTGTGAGCTTCTTTTTTAGTCTCTGTGGGGGCATGTTGGAATCCTTCAGATCATTTGATAGACAGCTAATTGAAATTGAATTGTTTCTATCTGAAGTAATTTTAGGTGATTCTCATGAGTACATTTCCTAATTCCTGGCTGATCTCCATCTCACTACATCAACTAGATTTCTCAATGAGGCTTGTATTAAGACCCATTACCCAGCTAATGTACTTTTAGTAATGAAACCAGGGTTCTCATCCCCTATTTAAGTCCTCACATTGAATCACTATGAAATGCTGGTTAACACACCCTTGCAGCATGAACTTTATGGCTTACTGTCACTTACTCACATAATAGTAAAGAATATGTACTTACAATTGTTTCTTGTACTGTATCATGGGTTTGCTTATAAATAGAGTTAAGAAAAATAATATATATTTTCAGACAAGCAGCCAGTTGCAACCAGGTAGGTAGGTGGCCAGTGGTTCAAACTGCATATTTTGCTGGCATGATAATATGTTGACATTATATTTTTGTATTTTATTGTAGACAACTAGACGGATCTGTTGTGGACCAGATTCAATTTTATATTTCTTTTTTTTCTTCATATTTAGTGGACATTATCTTAAATTTTTAACAGTCTAACGAATGAATTTTATGACCAGCCCATTTGGGAGATTGAGCTGGTCAGTATTGTTTTTGTGATGATAGGTAGCACTGGTTCTTGCATATGGTGATTAGAGGTGGTGCTGGTGATACACCCAGGTTTAATGAGAATTTAAGCTGTTTCCCTCCTCCATTTCTGCTGAGGGAAGACAGAGGTGAGAGTACTGTAGTATCAAGTGTAACCAGAAGAGTTATGGGTCTTGTGGTAGGTGGTAGGTTGGGCCTTAGTAAAGGATTTTTGAAACAAAATCAACAGAACTTTTAAAATTTTTTTGGTTTGACTCTATTTGAAAGCGGACGGGCTCTTTTAGCCCCTCTCTCAGCCTATTCCTTGCAATATTCAGCTAAATACATACAGACTTCCTTATTCTCCTACAAAACTTATGAAAATATGAAAAATATCCTAATTGTTTAATTACTATTGTCCTTTCCATTCAATGAATTTATTGATTTATGGAAATGAACGTGAAACAATATAAAACTGGGAGACAAACAATTGGAGAAGATGGTGCTGGCACACGCTTGACTGCAGGATAACATTCACGGCTCTGGAGTCCTATATCCTTTCCCCCACCTGGCCCATAAGCCACCCCCTGCTCTGTAGCTAAAATACAGTTCTCCCGACTTACGACGGGTTAGGACCCAAATCCAGGTCGAATCAAATGCTAAATAATACATAGAAAATCTAAAATGGTGTCTTTTTCACAGCACCACAAAACTCTCACTTTAAGCTTACCTTAAAGGAATTACAAACGAAAATTTGTCAGTACACAGCGCAATCACTGACTTGGGACTCGAAAAATACGTGCAGTGGGGTATGCTATAACGAACATAATTGGTTCCAGAACCTTGCTCTAGTATAGCATTCGTTCGATATAGGATTAATCCGTTCCAGGCCCCCAAATACAACCACTTAACACTGAAAAAAATGTGGAAAATAAAAATACGTACTTTATCTTACCTTAGTGTTATTCAGCATGCAGGTACCCCTAAACACTGGCACATCACTATTACTTCCACTGAGTCTTGGCTTAAGGTCCTCAAACAATTGTTTAGCTTCTCACAAATTATAGTTCACTAATGTTACCACCTCGCCATTTCTTTTCCTTTATCCACACATAAGAGTAATTTTCATCTCTTCAATCACATTACACTTTGCTTTGCTAAGTCTAAAGATTCAGCTATCTGCACAGTTTTTAACTCCTTTATTTTTTCAAAAATCGCATATATAGTTTGATTTAGCCATCCCATATTTATCACTAAGTTTTAATGCTTCTTCCATTCTCACGCTTTTACAATTTCTTTTCTTAGTTTCAAGGGTTATTAGCTTTTCACCGCTATGGACGACTATTGTTACAATTGTAATACTTGTATAACAAATAGTTATACAAATAACGCGACCACATCAAAGACGAATTTCAACAAAATAGTGGTGCAATTGGCTACACAAGAGACAAAGACGGCGCCTGACGCCTTGTTGGGGTCGCGTACAACAATATTTCTCGCGCCCAGGCGAAATAGTCCCGTATTCATCCATTCGTAGGAGTTGCTATAAGACATTCTCAATTTTATAGGTAAACCGCTCGTATAGGAATATTCGTGAAGTAGATCCTGCTATAGCATACCCCATCTGTAATTTGACAAAATTTTGGTACGACTGAGGCGGTCGATGTCCGTGGTCGTAAGTTGAGGTAGGGTCGCTGGGGAGGAGCTGTAACTGTTTGGTTCCTGAGCCTTACCTCCCGGACTGTAGCCATGTACTAGTGCTTATATATATCTACCATTTATGATAATATTTAAAACTTCTAACACAGAAGTGCTAATGCTTTGGAAATTATTTGCATTTTGATAGTTCAGATAATTATTTAACATTATTTTAGATAATAACAGGTCTGCTTTCCAATTGTGAACACACTTATTTTTAATTTCTATGAACCAATCGGCAATTAGTATAGAAAAGGGCGCTATGGGGCAGATTAGCATGGAAATACTTATAGCTCTTTTCTCATTTTTTCTACTTCCTATATACTGTATATGTGTGGTATTTTAATTATATCCCTATATGCAAAATCATGTAAGGAATCTGAAGAGCAAATAAAAATATGAAAACGAAAACAAATGCATGTCTTGTGTAGTATAATTTGAAATTTATCATTGCATTTGCAATCAACTTACGCTTAATTATATAAAACAATTTTCTTAAAGTAAATTATATCGATAATATAATGCGTGAGAATCTCAGCTTCCTTTTGCAGTAACAAAAACTCACTAAGATAAATAATAATGGGTATAATTGATTTTAGAAAATATAAGGCAGTCGAAAACATTTTATCCATACCGCTTACTCGATTTCATTCTGAGTTGATTATCGCTTTGAAAATAATTAGTTTCAATATTTTATTTTCTGGCTGTTTAGTTCATTTCTTGAGAGAGTTTATACTGTTGTAAGAATTTATGGGCTGTATATTGTAATTTCATGAATTTATAAAAATAAAGCGACGGAAATGCACTGAGGGTGGGGGAGGCGTGGCGACTGTCAGTTGTTTCTGTAAGTCTTAGAATACTTCGATATTTCAAGATGAAAGATTCATAACCCTTCCTCCACTTATCGCGATTTCATAATTTTGCACAAACGTTCAGAACTAACATGCCTTCCTGACTTATGACAACCCGACATACGACGCCATGGTTGTATGAAATATTTACATTAAGTATTTTCGACTCGACGTTAGTGATCGCTTATGTATTGACAAAATTTGTTTGTAATTCACTTTAAAAATGGCTGGCAAGCATAAAAGAGTTTTGTGGTCTGAGAAGAAAAAGAGACACCCATTTTAGAATTTCTATTATTTTCGCTTTTTCGACTATGACCAATTCTACACGACTGGACTTGCCTGGACGGAACCGTCAGAAGTCGAGGAGAGAATGTATTCTCTCAAACTGCCACAATAGTCACATTTTCCTCTACTGAGAATACTGTACCGATATTTCAAAAATTAGTTAAAAAAGTGTTCTTCCAATTTACCCTGTTCACTTTCTGAATTTGTTAATATCAGCTAGACTCACTTAGTGGGGTTAGGGACCCAAATCCAGGTCTAAAGTCCGAATGGTCGTGAAGTCCGACATGATAGAAAAAAATGATTATTTTTTTTTTTTAATAAAATATCTACAATGAAATACAGTACAGTAAAAGTAATAAATAATGAGGAATGGATACAGTACAGTGAAAATAATAAATAATAAGGAATGGATACAGTGTGACTGAGCCCTCCTTTTAATGTAGTCAGCTATGCATGGGGCCCCATAATTTTCAATTATACATGGAGACTACATTAACTGGAAACGTTGCATAGAAATGTGCCATTTGAAAAATGGTCACAACTGCAGCGGTCAGAAGTCCAAGCAGTCAAGTCGGATCACCTGTATATTTTATTTTACATAGAAAAGATGCACCACTTGTGTAAGATTTGCAATCAGTAAACATAGTGCTGATAATTTTTATTGAGTGTACATTAATGTTGAAGTATTATGTACAGTAATGTTGTACACCACAAAAAATTATTCGCACCCTGAGTGATACAATATGACACGGATGCCAATAATTTTTTAGTGGGTGTACACCCAAAAAGTATTGATATACAATGTGTCACAATGGATGAATATTTGATCACTAAATGTGCTTCCTGCATTATGTTGGTAGACCTGCCTTAGTATCTGTGAGTTGCCGGTTATTATTTCTGGCATTTGTTATTATGGTGAATCACAGTGTGATCTTTAACAGATAATATAATGATATTAATGTATCGAAAATATATCAACGGCGTTCAAATAGTGTGTGTTTACGCTGGAAATCCCTGACCAATACAATTACCCGAGCCTCATTGGAAGACACAGCTTGTACAACAGACATGGAGAAATGTCACTTTCTGAATAACAGCATAGCTATAAATCGATGATTGTTATCATTATGTTTACCTCATTGTAAGTGTAATAGGTACATTATAATAGTCATATAGTGCCAATGACTATT